ATGTAGCGCATACCTTACAGTTCATGAAACGAACTGTACTGTACTACAGCTTTATTTCTGGGTTATCTCTATGTGGAACCTCGGTCTATCGAGACTTTTAGTTAGGAAAAGAAGAAACAATAGAATGTGAACAACCACTGCCGAAAGTAATTAGCTAGACCGTGGCCAGCCATGATCCATCGCCGATGATTTTGAAGCCATCGCAAGCTCTAGGTTTTAGAAGCCAAATATGCCGGTCGCCAATCACATCTGACCTTCACTCGTTGAGCATTTGGTCAACTACTATTCTAGCTACGCTTGCCAACTCCCGAAGAGTTTATACCATTATATGCGTGAAAGATTCCGGGATATTATTTAAGTCTTGCAAAAATTGTTTTTACTTGTGAATGTAGAATTTTCTAATAGATTTTCTCATGTTTAGTTAAGGTTGCTAACTCTCGGACTCGCCGATTGAATTGCAAACTTCAGAGTCTCCGCGTCTCAGAAAATTTTTGCGTCAAATTCAGTAGCTTTTCATTTCCCTACAAATTTCCTTCAGATTAGGAAACAACGATCATAAACATTACGTTTATTGTTACGTCTTTTATAATTTGCAAAATATTTGTTTATTGGTACATATTTCTAGCGTTTAAATAACCGTACAGAAGCGAACATAATTGATATCAAGAAACGCAGGCCACATTGCACAACAGAAACGAAAGAAATTTTATTCTATCCGTTTGTTTTTCAGAGTTTTTAAATGCTCGATTAAAAAATCTTTGACTTTTCATTTCGAGAATTTGAATCAGGCGGATTGGCCAAGCGGTTAAGATATAAAATAAATCTCGAAATTGAATGATATAATTATTTTTCATTTTTAAGTAATTTAATACGTTCTGCAATCTTCAAAGTAATAATTCTTGTGTAAAATGCGTTAAAAATTGCCTTTGAATTACGTAGAAATTTTCACAAATAGAAAAAATTTATTAAAGTTTGTTGGAAACTGTTTACAAAAANTAATGGAGAAAGAGTAGATAAATTAAATTGAACTTTTAAAAAGAATCAGCAAGCAAAAAAAGTTGAAAATTCTTGACTTAGAATATATTCACCATCTATAGCTTATGCTTTGCTGAAATATTTTGTGAGAGTGAACAAGGATTTTCTTTGAGGAATAATCTAAGATTTATGTTGCAGATATAGGAAACATAGATTTTAAAAGGAAAAACTTATAATTTGTCAAAATATCTATCTTATTCAAGAAAATAAAGTAATTATTATAATAGCATAGAAATAAAAATAAATAAAACGATGAGTTCTGTTCAAACTTATTAGTATTAGAGTGGAATTATAGAACAAAACCTTCTTTGTAGTACCTTCTAAACAATTCTCCAGTAGCTTATTATCAAGATAATAAGCTACTGGAGAATTGTTTAGAAGGTACTACAAAGAAAGTTTAGTGCTATAAAATGGTGAGATAGCCACAAAGAAATTGCTTTATCTGTGCATTCAGTTTTTAATAAATTTCAAATGGTATTAAAGATAAGATTAGATTTGACAAGAAACTATGATCATGGTCTCTAGAAACAAGAAATATTAATGGATCTATCTCTATGATTATAAAACTTTAAATAAAGCAAAAATATTAAAATTTATGAGTTAATCCATCCTTCTCAATAATTTAGATTACAATATATTATCATCAATGAAATAATAACAGTTGTGGGAATTGCATTACAAATAAAATTCTGTAAAAATCTGTTTATTTTAAAAATACAGTATTATTTTGCTGCAGACATGGAAGCAACCATAAAAACTGTATCATCTATGACATTATAAACATGAGAACACCTTTCATTTGCTGACAAATTCTACTGCAGAACTATATTATGTAATTATATTATCTATATAGTGACTATATTATCTATTGGTATGAAAACCTGTGCAAATGTGGTTACTTTTCTTTCATAAGCAAACTTGAAAGTTTTCAACATTTAACACTGCATAAAAAGCATGCAATTATTGTTTTAAATGTTGAAGGTTATCCTGTCATGAAATAGCATAGAGAGTGAATTGCCATCAATCAACAATTATGTGTTTGTTACAAAGGAGATGTGAACATGGCAACATTGAAAGAAAAGCTGAATTGGGAGATAAACATGTGAATATACTGTGCTAGGCTGACTCAAAGGTATATGGCTTCCTAGGCCAGTTTCATTTTCAGTATCTGATTATTGTTATTTTTTTTTTATTTAAAATTTTTAAGTTTGATAAATTTTATAAAAGAAGCATGTTGTAATAGAACATTTAAAAAAAATTTTACATAAAATTAAACTTACAAAATTTTTTATGATGTGGTGCTCCTAGGCCTCTTATGCCTAAGCCTAGAGCTGGCTCTGGTGCTAGGATAAGATGCTGAAGTTTCTCAGCCCATGAGAACATACTGTTAGTTCTTCCAAACTAAAAGTATACTAGGAAGAGTAGACAGATTTATGTAAAAGCAAGTGTGTGAGCTGTGTGACATTGCCTGTGTAGCATGGATTTAAAAGTCTATCATATATATAACTAGCCATTACTCCCTTCAATAACTGCACAGAATTAATCACAATATACAACTATTTATCATGTAGTAAACATTTATAACTCTGACATTTTTGGTCTTCTTAATTGACCCTCTTTAGAAGATATCTGAATTTTACAATTTAAAAAGAACTAATAAATAAAATGCACAGACTACCTGGATTAAGTAGCACATAGACTAGAACAATTACATATAGGATTTTGTTGTATTTTGGATAAATCCAAATTTAACTTTCGAAATCTGACAGAAAACACTATGTTAGGCATAGAAAAGGTGAGGCTTATAACAGGAATTACTTGATGCAGACAGCAATGTTTCTGATGAGTCAAATAGTGTCTGGGTGCATAAACAGTAAAGGTGTTGGGAGACTATACTTTCTAAATGGATCTGTGAATTACAGAATGCTACAAAAATATTGTACTTGCCAAGCTAATTCCAACCATCAAGGAACAATTTCATGATATGGAATCCTGAATGTTCCAGGATGACAGCAGAATATCATCATGCCAAGATGTTGAGTAAAGTATGTCTTCTTCCTGTGGTTTGTTATCATTATTATCACTTAAACTGACACACAAATTGTTGTTGTTTAGTTTTAAAAAATTCCTAAGGAAGCCCAAATCAGATGCTCAAGCTGGCTAGGCATCAGTCCTTATTTTAACATTGTTTAGAACTGCTGACATTTAATAAGATGCTGTAATTAGCAGTATTATCTGTTACTTTTTCTAACCACCTAAAAGAGGGTTTTGGACGAATAAAAACTTAATTCTTTTCTCTTTCAGATCCAACTTTCACCAGAGTTCAAAAATTATTTAGAGATCAATTTTAAGATATTTTATTTATATGCATTTCAGATTGAAATATTTTGCCAATCCCTCTTCAGTAATAAATACATACAATCTGCAATAGAATCAACACCAACAACCAGTACTTTTCGAAATAGATCACAGGAACAATCTATTGTTCCTGTGATCTATTGCAGCTTAAACATGTTACACATCTATTGAATGTTTCTGATATATATTGCAGGTAATGCAATTTCTATGTCCACTACTGCAATTCATTATATACAAGCTTTCTTCTTTAATATATTTTCATGTTACAAGAATATTATGCTTTGAACATCTTTTAATAAATATTATTGTGAAACAAAATAACTTACACATGATTTACTGATATTTATGTCCAATTAAATTTATAAGAGAAAAAAAATTAGATTATGATATTTTTTTAGCTCACAGAATATCAGAAAGATAATTCTAGTATAGTTTTCCATACATTCTAACAGACTTTCCTTGTAAAGCATTTTAACAAAAAATTTATATTTCTTCAGTACGTAGTTTTAATATTTTGACCAAATTTTAATCAGTTACTTTTAATTACTGTTTTTGCTTTCAAAGCAACTATCTAAAATAAACTATTGAAATTACATGATATTTCCATCAATTTTCTTCATTATATAAGCAAACTGTGAAGAAAATTGAGCTATATCACAATATTTCCTTGTTAATAATAATGTGTTATTTTTTCTAAACAAAAAGTTGTCATACATTTCAAGTCGCAGTCTATTTAGTATATTTTTAATATTCATTTTAATTAATATAATATTTAATCTTCAAGTGAAATATGTTATAGTAAAATAATAATTATTAGAAATAACATTAATTAGATATAATAGCAGAAACAGTTCTTTATGTGTAATAGAATCAATAATATCTCATAAAAAGAACCAATAATATAAAATTGTTGAGTAGTTTATGAATGTAATTAATAAGAAATGATATTTAATGATTATAATCATCGGTGTAAAATTTATTGCAAGTACATATTTGATAATATGGAGTATTATATATTACATTTAATGTAGAAAAATTAAAAATTTTTTCATCAGTTTGGCAACTTTTGTATTCTATTTCTTTGATTCAGACTACAATGTTTTGGTTTCTTTTTATGCCAATCTTATTCTTTATGCTTTGATTCATTCTTATCTCAATAATCATCAGCTTAATCAGTGAAAAATTTTGAATTATTTTACCTGAATAAATGAAAATGATTCAGAAAATTTCAGATTATTTCAGATTATTTGTAAATTATTAGAATTAATTTCTAAGAAGAAAATACAATCAAATTAAAATTTAAAGAATAATAATAGTTAAAATTTAGTAGTTTATAATTTTATACTTTACTATATATTACTAATAATAATACCCACTTTCTAATTTTTAATAATTTACAGAAAAATTTAAAAAGAAATTCAGTGTTTGCAAATCGAGATGCTTTAATGTTAATAATATGATTTTTACATTAAGTTATCTGTATATTATGGTAGTCAGCAGTTAAAAAGCTTAAGTTTAATTTAAAATTACAAACTAATGTTCTTGATGATCTGTAAAATAAATTGCTTTTAACTAAAATAAAATTTACAACTTTGTTTTCTTCTTAGAAAATTGATGGAAAGAAATTCTTAAGCATGACAAAGGAAGATATTATGTCTCTAACTGGAATGAAAGTAGGACCATCATTGAAAATTTTTGATTTAATTCAACAATTAAGAACACAAATTGGAAAACATAAACCAAAGTCATGAAATTTTCAAAATGTGGCTGATAAATTACAAATTAAAAAAAATGTCTATTGTTGTTATTTTTAATGTTAATATTAAGTTTAAGGGTTTAATTTTTCAGCCACATGGGTATTATTTGAACTGATTTTATTTCTAATCAATAGTCATTTGTACATAAAGAAATCTTGTTGTTAAAACACAGTTGGAGTAATGTATTAAATTAAAATGTATTATCATAGTTTTCATTAACAGTCATAATTGAAATTTACTCAAAAAAATTTTATAATAATTATATTATTTTAAATCTATTGGCTCATAAATTTTCCCTGTTTTTGTTTTACATAACTACAGAGCTTAAATATTTTATTATTTTATAACAAAATACTGATTGAATTGATAATTTATAGTTTGTTAAGATAAATATTAGAAATGTATTACAGTCGACCCCCCTATAAGATCATTGATTTTTCCGTTTTATCTGAATTACATGTTGTACGAGTCACTTAGATTTTACAAATACGTGTGCCGG